CTCCGAGCGGCCGTGATTGGCGTGTCCTCTACGCTTGATTGATTTGAAAATATAGACAAGATGTCACCCATATGAAAGCTACCAATTTATAAGCCTTCATCTCGAAACTTCAGAGAGACGCCGGCGCCATCAAAATCAGAGCGGGAGTTTGTAGCTACCAATGGTTCAGAAGTAGAAAAGCCCTGGCAAGCAAAGTGACACCTCGCTAAAGGCAGCCTGCTAGTTCTATGAAATCCTCTCCCTTTGTATTCTCCTCTTGTCTCTTTTCTTTTTTTTTTTTCTCTGTCCCTTTCTCTCTGACTTTGTCTCTTTACTTGTCTCTTTCTCTGTTTGTCATTCACTTTCTGCCTTTGTCTAGTGTTTCAGTCTCTCTATTCCTCTTTGCTGCACATCTCTCTTTATTCTGCGAGGCTGTGATGAGACGCTCTGGAAGTTAACTTGTCCCACGGCTCGCCGTGAAAGGAATGACCTTGATGTAGCTCGCGTACGGTGCTCAGTTTGCCGTGTTGTTTCCGGCGTGCGACTCTTTGCATATTCCTGTTTGTGTGTCTCTGTAATCACTGGATTGTAAAAAAGAAAAAAAAAAAAAACTACGTGTGAGTGCGTTATCATACGCAGGGAGCTTCTCCGGTTTTTCTTTTTTTTTTCTTTACCTCATCCCACGCAGTGATAATTCTGTTTGGGAACGACGGCACTGTACCACGTCAAGAGATGGGCAGGGGAGAGGCACAGGGAGGCACCATTTAGATAAAACAAATTGCCAGCTGCCGAGCAGGAGCAGTCAGATAAAAAGCAAAGGGAGCGTGAGCATTAGTGTGCACACGGTGAGGATTTTTTCCCTTTGCATTGTGTGACTGTGGTACCTAAAGGAGGTGCAGCCACGACTCCAGGCTTTCTTTCTTTTTTTCTCCCCCATAACAAGTCACAGAGCCATTTTCTCTGGCCTATGACTATAATGCTGTGATGGGACAAGCAGCAGTAATTAAAATCAATAGCCAGGACTTTTCCAGTCTCCGGCAAGGTCACACGCTGCCCAGTGGAGAGGAGGAGAAGGAGAAACAGAGAGAAGTGGGATTGCATGGATGGGCAGAGCCAAACAGGGAAATATGTAAAGAGGTGAGGTGTCATCTCGTTTTAATTAACCTGCACCTCGGAGGGCTGCCACCGCGCTAACGCACCAGCGTGCCCACGTATGTGTGTGTGAGCGCACACGCGTGTGCCAGTGCGTCATGCGGTCTGTTTTGTCCTTGATGGCCGGTTTTATTCTCAGTACTTCCAACCGGCCACGCAGTCCTAACAACAGCATTCAGCTTCTACTGAGGGATAAAATACAAGAGTTTGCTCTCGTTCTTTTCCCCCAAGATTGACCATTTTTCTTGTGCTCCTTTGTCCGGCTCTGCAGGGCTGTAAGACGACCCGGTAAGCTGGCTCCGGTTGGCAGGCTGGGTGTGGTACCGCTAGCCACTGGCTGCATTAGTATTCTGCTGAGATAGCCACATGCAGAGACATTTTCCTCTCTCCTCCTCTGAAGGAATAATCAGCCTTGCCTTTCTCTCCTTTCTCCCCCTTCTGCCTGAAAGAGGCTCAGTGATTTAGCTTTTTTTGTTTCACCAGATACCTGCAGGGACGTCTTCAGGACTTAGAAAATGCACGTACGTGTGTTCACTATGTATTTTTGCGTGAGACCTTTTGCCAAAGCTGGTGTCTGAGCAAACACATGAAACTCTGGCGTCTCCTCCCTCTTCGGGGTGAGTCGGGGGAGAGAAGTTCACTCTGTGAGAGTTAAGGCAGAGCAGTCTGTCCTGTTTGTTGATTATCAGGTGCTGTTCCTATCACAGCCCTGATAGCATCTCCATCTGATCCGTTGCCAGAGTCGCTAGCTCACTAGCCGCTACGCTGTTAGCCGCCACCTCTTCGCGTCTATCTCCGCATCAGTCCCAGATCTGCCATCGCCCTGCTCTCTCATCTCCTCCTTATCTCCTTATTCCACCTTTCTCCCAGCTCCCACCACCCCAAACCCACCCATCACTCATCATCCTCATCTTTCTCTTGCTTTTATCCTCCACTCTCAGAGCGTCTGCCAGAGCTCCTATGGCAGCGCCGTTGTTCCCCAACGCTTGGTCTTCTTCACGCAAACTGTCAAGGCGGAGTCAGTGAGTGACAGGACAAGACAAGAGAGATTTGGAGAAAGACAGAAGGTGGAGAGAGGAAGAGAGAAGGGCGGCGAATACAGTCACACCTGCACGTTGGCCACATTGGTCTGAAAAGCCAAACAGACGAAGAGTGTGAAAAGGAAACATGTCGAGTAAGCAGAGAAGTTCTGTGGACTGCAGCAGTCCTGTCCCGGACCCATCGATCGTCCGCGAGGTGCAGGGATCAGTCAGCTTTATTTAGCTCCTGGGCTCAACATGCAACACACAGTGGAGACACTCAGCACAACGCAGATGCTTACCTGTTCCTCACTCCATCTCATTATCTGGAGCTGTTCACGCGCTACAACTTTGTACATTATGAATAAAACATGAAAGTTCTGGAAGAAAGTTTGCATACATGTGAGGCAGTCTTGGATTGACTCCTACAAACATGCGTCCCTGTCACAAAAAAACAGGAATATGACAAAGCCTAATGAGTCAAAATACACTCAAAGCAAAGGTAATGTTTGGTTCAGTGTCGTTTGTCTATTTCCACCTCAGCGAGGTCCCTTTGGTGGATGTTCACAAGCTGCTGGGTGTGTCTTTGAGCACTCCTCTTGAAGGAATTTGTGCAGTTTGACTAAATTTGTTGGCTTTCTGACATGTTTAGCCGTTTCTTTACCACTTGTGATGTGTTTGGGGTCATTGTCTTGTTGTAACACCGAGCTGTATCCGGGACCCACAGACTGTATAAAGATGGACGTAGCAACCGGTCCTGAAACATGAAGCCAACCTGGAAGTGTCAAAAACCTGCAGTATCACTACGTCCACTAGCTGCTGGCTCCACAAAGCCCTGGCTCCCATAGACTGGAACTGGAAAAGAAGTGATCACAGATCATGAAATACTGCATTCCTACAGCTCAGGATGTTTTTCTTATTAGTTTTCATGGTCAAATCCAGAGATCAGGTGGCCAATCTGAGAATAAATCAACACTGAATTTTAAAAAAATCGTCAACATGTTGCGGGGCAAGGGGCGTGGCTGGCTTGATTGACAGTCGACAACTCAGACGAAGCGAGCAGAAGGTAAATGTGGGCGGGGCAGAGAGGACCCGCCTCTCAATCTGTCTGACCAATCGCTGCTCCTATGGCTCCGCCCCCCTCCGGCGATTTTTGCGTCACTGGCTCCAAAAATCCAAGATGTCAACCAGGAAGTAGCAAAACCCTGGCTTCATGTTCTCAGAGCAGAAACCAACGGGTGACGTCACGGTAGCTACGTCCGTCTTTTATACAGACTCAACCTTCTAGCTCATGTTTTATAGGCTTTCTTCATTATTGCACCAAAACAGCCCTAGAGCATAATCTTTGTTCTCACAGTGGTTGCACGGATAAGTTTAGGATCTGTAGCCGCTTTAAAACGTCTTCAAGTGACATCCTTCTTTTGTTGAACTCAGTGATTTGCTTTTTCAGATCTCTGCTGAGCTCCTCAAACTTCCCTGATGTTGTATTTGAGTGTTTCAAATGGGCCTGAATGGAATTACCTCAGAGGAGTCAGCAGCTGTAGTCGACTGTAATGAAGCTTAAAGGCTACGTCACTGAGAGAAACACATCAACACAACTTTCTACATGAACAAAACTGATGATTCAAGTTGCTGCATGAATGTTGTCACAGGAATCAGTGTAACTTGTTATGACATACAAGGTCTTTATAAGCAGACGTAAACTTTTACCCATAACTCTTCTCTCACTGCCATTTCCTGCGTCTCACCCGGAGGATTGAACAGATCTCGTACGCTCATGCATTACGATGGTGTCATCATCTCTTGCAGTTACAAATGCAAAACAGATGAAAGCTGGAAACAGCATTTTGCCGCACTTTGTAATCACAGACAAACCGTAATGAGGTCAAAAAGGAGGCCTTCTCCTTTTGCAAAGCAAATTACTGACATGTAAGTCATTTGGTCCTGATTCTTTCTTCTCTCCAGCAGTAGCATTCAGGTTGATTATCATTTCCTGTGATGGATCACATCTGCTGTTTTCACCACAAATCATTTTTGTTGCTGCCTTTTGTTGATCCTTAACAAACTGGAATAGTTTGTGTTTGTCCCGACGAATGTCTCATAAAATACCAGATGACCTTGGAAACACACTGTGTTTATGCAAGTCTGGAAGAAATCTCAAGTAATTAAATCAGTTTGCCTTTCAATTTATCCAGTTAGTGGATGATTTATCTGTCCTTATTATTGAACTGGTCACATTAATTTTCAGTCTATCAGTTACAGTTTGTCATTTTTGTGGATTTGCCTTAAATGAAAAACGGCGACTGCAGTGTTTAAATGACAAACGCTGAATCACAGAGGGGCTTTTTAATAATCACAAATTATTCTCTTTGTGTTTAATCACTCCTGCCTCCTCGTTTTTATGTTTTATTTATTTTAAAACATAACTAATCAGAGAACGGTTGAGTTTGTGCATAAACAACGAAGAGACACATAGATTTTTGGTTTCTTTGTTTTAACGTTCACTCAGCTGTCCCAAGCAGACGATTAGCAGGTGGCATCGCCCTCGTTCCTTCAGCGCTTGTTCTGCTCCACCAGCTGAACTCAACATCTCTGGAAGAAGGCAAACTGACATGTTGATGCAACTTCTGCGTTGTGATTTCTCACTTCTCTGTATAACTTATGTGCCCCTGTTTCCTCGTCTATCTTTACACTTTCTGAACTTTCTTCCCTCTCCGGCAAAACTTCGCTCTTCCCATTGTTCCTCCGCCTGATGCAGTCTGAAACCTTTTAGCCCTAATGTTGGTGAATTGAAGACCTGTCCTGTAAATGACCTCTCTAATTTCCCGGTGATGTGTTTGTCTGTTGCAGGCAGAGGCTCCCGGCCAAGAACGTGTATTACTACCGCTGCCCCGACCACCGCCGCAACTATGTCATGTCTTTCGCCTTCTGCTTTGACCGGGAGGACGACGTGTACCAGTTCGCCTACTGCTACCCCTACACCTACTCCAGACTGCAGCACTACCTGGCCAGCTTGGAGCGCAGGAACCTGCCGTACCTGCAGAGGGACCAGCTGGGACTCAGTGTGGTGAGTCGGGAGGTGAACGGTGTGTGTGAGGGGTGGTAATGGCCACGGCTGGAGCAGAGAAGTCGAATGGTGGCGAAGATTAGAGGTGGAAGGGTTATAAGGCGTAGTGTGTGTGTGTGTGTGTGTGTGTGTGTGTGTGTTCAGATTAAGGAGACCCAGATTGGTAACTTAGGTGTGCCTGCCGGTCATAACTTCAGCCTCTCATGTTATTATTAGGATTGTTGCACTCTGAGATGACGGACTGTAAGCCTCTGGGTGTGTGTGNTGTTATTATTAGGATTGTTGCACTCTGAGATGACTGTGTGTAAGCCTCTGTGTGTGTGTGTGTGTGTGTGTGTGTGTGTGTGTGTGTGTGTAAATGGCTGTGTGTAATCAGCAGAGCTCTCACCTCGGCAGTAGGAGCTAGTGTATCATACACACTGCCTGCAGTCTTGTCTGCTCTTATCAAATAATTGTAGGAGAAAAACTCATTAGAAATGCTTGAGAGATTACGACTTTTTCTTCTGTCCTCCGACATTTGTCAGGGAAAGCTCGCTGCAAGGGGGGGAATGTGAAAGTACAGGTATTTGTAAGGAGCACCTGACCATAAAATGCAGAGAGGAAACCGTGGCTCAAAATGGCTGGTTAAAAAAACACAAGAGTGATGCCTCTACCAGCCGAGGATCCGACGACCTTCATTAGTGATGTCTGGGGATGTCCTGATCAAGGTTTTTTTGTCCCGATCCGGGTCATTGAATATGTAGTTTCTGCTGATATCCAGAAGCATTTAATTAGAAAATAGACACTTGAAGTCTTGTAGATTAGTTGTAGCACCTGGTTGCACCACCAGGGGGAGCCTCTTATTGTTTAGCAACCAGAGGACTTCCAGAGTGCATTGTGGGGGTGTAGCTAGTAAATGGGCACCATGACAGAGTCTTCTGTGAAGTTCAGCTCACTTCCAACTGGGATCCAGTCGACTTCATTCCTTTAATATCAGTGACTTTTATGTTTGTGTCATGTTTATGCAGCTTTGCCAGTAAAATATGTTGAATTTATTTTAGCAATCGATAAACTACTGACTGATACGACTGCACATAGTAGTTAAAATATTAAACTTTATAACACGTGTGGCTACGGTTCTTGCCAATAACGAATTAAGAATTTCCTTCCATCTAAGGACATTAACAACAATACAGAACTGAGTGTTTTGGATTTAAAAAATGAATAAAAACTAGATTTTTATGGGGCAATTCAGTGGTGAACAGAAGAGTGCAACCCTTTCCGTTTTGGTTGGATTTGGCGACACCTGTGGTTACTGGGTGTAACAGCAGGTGCTTTTTACTATAGTGGGAAATGACACGAGCTGGATCAGCGAGTTGGGTCGACGAGTTGGGCTGCCAAACAACCAGATAGAGAAGATTTATTGCATAGAGCTGTGTTGATATAGAAGTGCATGCTAGTGATTCCACCGACATCCTGTGCGATAACTCCCGCTAGCATCTCCGAAACTAACACTGATTCTTGTTATATGCAAAACAGGAAAGGTGAATAAAAAGTAGTCTGCACCTGTTTCATTCCCAGGTATCTTGTGAATGTCGGAGAAATACAGTAAATTTATCGTATCAGGTTTTACTTTGACACATAAGCGAACACCCCACCTTTTAACGTGGAGTTACCGCGGTGACGGTAAGGTCTGACATTTAGGTGATATTATTTACTGCATATATGCACCCTTTAAAAACACACCGGCTGCTGTAAAAGAGGACGATAACTGACAGCTTACAAGGGATTGCTGTTTTATGCAGTTGTTCAAACTGAAATGGAAAAAAAAAAGCCAGTTTAATACCAAGTTAAATAAATAAATGCGATAATAAATATATAAATGAGTCAATAATCTGTCAGCAGCCACAAAATGAGACGGCGTCGGTGAATACCAGCGACTGTTCGTAGGTCAGCGTTCAGCAAAGGGAGGCTTGTTGCTTATAGAGTAAATCATGTAAAATGGATACAGGCTAAATGGATAAGTGTCATTAAAATACACTGGCAATAAAACGACCATTTCAGCACCACGGCTTTGAAAATAAAAATGCAACTGAGACGTATTATATTGGATTGATGTGAGGTGACACAAGGGACACAAATCTCACTCCAGCTGAACTCAGAAGTTCTGGTCTTTATAGAACTGGATGTTTTTTTTTTTAATGGCATTTATTCATTTCATCACTTAGTTCATGATCATGTTCATTTATTTGTCTGGCATATTTATTTAAAGCAGTTCAAGTAAAATGGCAGTTTGTAATTTTTAGAATATTGAGAACTCTCGTATTTGAGCGTTAAAACATCGCTGCATAGTCGGATGTCGCTGCTCTCTGTTACCTGAGCGTTACCGTCCACCGACAAAGGACTCAGTGATGTTTTGCCCTCGCAGCATCTTCCTTACCCGCCTCAGACCGACTTTAGTGCCTCACACATCCCAGTCTGCATGAATTTAGATATCGATCCGTGCTGTAAGAATTGATCCTGAACCATGGAATTGATTGTGTCTTAAGAAATCTGAGCATCAAAACATTAATTTCTTTCATTTCAGTGAATTTTTCTAAACAATAAATTATGAATTTTCTGCATCGGTTCATAGTCGAAAGTCTTGAATTGAGTAAAATCTAGATTGTTAGTCGCAGCTCTGAAATCTAAACTGGTTTCTTCATTTGAAGTATTAAATGTATTTTTGTAACGAGTTCAGTAATGATGCTGTCGGTTGTTAATTATGGATTAAATTGGGCTTTTCTGATCATCTTAAAGTGTGTAAATGAAAAGACTGTAGAGATCAGCTTTAAGGCATAAAGTTGTTTTCTGATTCGTCACATTAAATCGATCCAAACGAGTTGATTATCACAGTAATCAACTCCACCATGACGGTTTCTTGTTGCCCCTCTAACCCCCCTGCCAGAAACTAAACCTGGTTACCAACATGACTCGGTAGAAAAATTACACCACTAACATCTGTGTTAAATATATTACATTTTCTCTGTCTGCTTCAAAAGAAAAACCATCCAGAGGTTCACCAGTTGAAGACAGTTAATGTGAAGGAGACATGTTTGGGTTTGGTTGTGACGCTTGAACAGTAAGGAGGTGATGGTCCACCAGGGTCCACCGGGGTCCACTGGGGTCTACATGAGGTCAGGTTCAGCTACATGCAGTGTAAAAGTCCTGTTTGCCAAATGTTGTGCTTGGCTGTCGTGTGTATTAAGGATCATCCAATTAGCATCCTAGCCGACTATCAATATCAATTCTTCCAACCATCGGTATCCCCGTAAAACAAATGCAGCCTCCTCTGTCTGTCTGTCTGTCTGTGGTCAGTCTGTGTTGTTGTGCTCTGATTGGTCCACATCATGAGTCATAACTAACACCGGCTCATAGAAGCGTATTTGCAGAGCAGAGCTGCGATTCAAAGGTGATGCTGCAGATATTTCTGTAGTTGTAATAAACACGGCGGTCTTCCACAAACATGCAGTTTCCCCGTCACACTAAAAACCCACAAATCATTTAGTTGTCGTGTCGGTGCAGCTGAAGCTTGTTGTGCTGTCAGGCCTGTGGCTATCTGGAGGAACATCTTCATATTAACTCGACCAGTCGACTCTGGCAGAGACGCAACCTGCAAAAACTGGACAAGAAGCTCAGCAATCCAAACAAATCAGTAAATTAGCAGCTTTCTGAGTGGCTATGCTAACAGCTAACGGCTAGCTGCTTAGTCACAGATTACACTTAAACAACGTCTGGAAAACAATAACAAAAACCACTATTGGCCTCAATACAAGTGACAGACGCCTAAAAGAAGAAGAAGAGGCAAACATTCATTGATCTCACCGTGAACAGAGCGTCCCAGTGCGCCGTGACGCTCTGACGCCATCGCTTTATTTGCTTTTGAACATATTCAGCTCTGTGTTAATGAAGGAGCCTCATTGTGACAAGTCCCCTGTTATCACATCCTCCTAATATATAACATTTAATGTATATCGGTTCCAAATATCGTCCCCCTTAATCACTAATAATCAATACTGGCTCTGAACAGAAGCATCATGTGTGGAATATTCAGATACGACCAACGTGTAGCTCTGAGTGCGCTGGAATAGTCGAATAATAGAGACAGCTGTGTGTCTGCAGGGGAATATAATCTATAAAAACACTTAATAAAGAGTTTATATAGATTAGGTAAGTAGATAAAATGACCAGTATAATGCTGGATTACATGGACGCTGCATGAATGTGTTTTCAATCCGAGGTAAGGTCAGACACCAAGAATTCAAATTAAAGGTATTTACTGGATGTAAGTGTGTTAAATACAGAAACACGTCTTCAGCATGAATGTATATTAAAACTGTGGCTTCAGACAAACGATTATCTGTTTAGTTGTGAGCTGCTGTGTTTTTCTATAACCTGTTGTCCAGATAGAGAGAAACGCTGTGTGCTATAAAACAAAATGGATGTATGTTGAGCAGAGCAGCACATAAAGGGTTAGCGCCTCCATCCATGGCTGCTAACTAATCCCCCCTCTCCATCTGCACCACCGCTGCTTTGTGTACGACATCGTGTAAATGCTAAGCTATACAATTCAGCCTGTGCGGCACACTATTTCCTCTTTATTTTAAAGCCGCGTCATTTCTCCGAGCAAGTCGGAGAGCGAGGGAGAGGGAGGACAGAGCCGGTTTGGCTCACAGAGTCGGTATTAGTATTCATAGTCATAGAGAGGTTTTATGACCGTATTTTTCTCTTTATGTTCTCTGGGCCTGGGTGGCAGACAGCCCAGCTCCACCCTCTCATATCTCTTTCTCTGTCTGCTCCCTCTCTTGCTGCTACCTTCTCCCCCCACCGCTATCTATCACGTGCACATATGCAGCCGCACACACACACACACACACACACAGGTCAGGGAGGAAGGGATGAGGAGGGATGAGGAGAGCTTTCTGGCTGCATCAAAGTTTAAAGACGGATCGTTGTAATTTCCAAGGCAGAGTCTTTGGAAC